TGGCAAGTGGCAAGTGGCAAGTGACAAGTGGAAAGCGGCGTGTTACCAGCCATCGGTTGGGATTTTCACTGTATACTACTTATGTAGACGGGTCTCAAATTGTTCCTGATATATTTATATAGAAACAGCGGACATAGAGCGTGAATGGCAAGAAGGGAGTTGACAGGGCGCTGCAATTAAAAAGCAATTACACTTGCACTTGTTGGTTCGCTGTACGTGAAATATTGTTGATTACCTGCTGTGCGCAGCTAAGCAGAAGCGTTTCCTTTTTGAATGCTGCCACGGCTTATTGATTGTCTAGTGATCCGTTGTTTCTTAAAATAGCTAACGAAGGTATGATCAAGTTGGGTGCAAAGTTTACCTCTTCGAGTCATATGAATCTGGGCCATTCCAGTTACGTAGGTCCGACTGTCGTGGGCCTAACTGGCTAGTGAAAGTGGAATGGATGTAGTATAGGTATGGTGACCATATTTATAAAAACCGAATACACTCAGAAAAAAGCCAGCCAAATATATTTCTACCAACACGTGATTTGGTAACTATAACCAAATAATGTGACTATAACTAAATCATGTGTTGAGAAAAACATATTTAGTTGACGTAACTAAACTCTTTTCTCAGTGTACGGGACAAAAAATAATTTTGCAATTTTTTTCACACTATTTTCCCTGAAACGGTATCCTTACAAATAGTAACATCTCAAATTTATAGGACAATTTTCTCGAGATTTTTACCCCGTAAAATTTGTTAAAAAAAATACGTTAAATTTTTAATATAATAAAGTGCACCACTAATTTTTGACATTTTTTTTTTTTTTGTTGACGGTGTTACGCATTTGTCATACAAAGTATGTATGTTCGACCATGTTTTTTTTTTTTTTGAAAGAGAAGCAAATGAGCAGTAATTTCCACTCGCACTTTATTATTATACTCAATTCTGGCGAGTTACAAAACTGCAAACCAAATTTTTTGTCAAAAGATTCTAATTAAAAAGTTTGAAATTTTGGTGATAATTTGCAGAATTAATTTTTATAGTTTTTTTGCACAAAGTTGGAAATTTGGTATTATAGGGTTTTTTTTTAGGAAAAGAGTTTTACTTTCATAAAATAAATAATAAACATTAAATAAACTAAGGAAAAATAGCCAAAACGCACTAAAATGTCGAGTCCTAATTTCTATTTTGGCCACTGTATGTATTCCTCGATTCGAATCACAGGCATTCAGTTTAGAAAACAATAACTGTTTATGTAGAAAATTACGATTACGCCGTGCGACAAAACCCGAAAATTTTTAAAACATGAAAAAGTCAATTTATTCACAAAACTAGGAGCCAAATATAGTATAACTGCGTTTTTAAATTTTCTCTCTGACGTCAGGATTTTTTTAAAGGACTTTGAATTTTTTAGGATATGATTAAATAAAAAAATTATTTACAAGATTTGATGCATTGTAGAGTAACAATATTAGTAACAATTAAAAGGAAAAATTTTGTAGAATTGAAAAAAAAATAAATTTTTTGGTGCACCAGGAAGAATAGGTGTTGTCCTTTTAAAATTTTTTTCTTGAATATCCTTGGAAATTTCCAATATTTATTTTTGAAAAAAAAAAAATATGTCAAGGCCCTATATATGCAAACTACTACACCCTCGAATTTCATCCTTCTAACTTTATTAGTTTTAGATAAAAAAAAAAATACACTTCTCATTGTATTCGCCCATAAATGTAGTTCTGTGTCTAGGATTTCTCCAAATTTCATATTTTCTAAAATTGAGGTAATAGCTTTTTGACCCATATTCGCTATTTGATTACTGGAAATATACATACTTATTTTCTCTAGACTTGCTGCACCTATCAAAGGGAATCGGATAAATTAACAGAATTTCCATGTTGTTTTCCGCAAATATTTTTCAGTAGTCAAAATTAGACAAAAGCAAAGCTTCTCCGAATCCCATTAGGCTATAGTCTACATGTAAATATAAGCTCAGTTAAAAAAAAACTTAATCAAGTTTAAATTATATTCATATAAAAATAAATTAATAAAAAAACTACATTATAAAAAATTTTTATTAAGCTTGAGGTCTTTTTAATTGAAAACTACTCCGAAAAAATAATAACTTATAAATGGTAGACATTATAGCTGCTATTTCGGAGATCACCACATCTCCTCATCAGACTTCTTCACTGGGATTCGATCCAACGACCCCAGGCTTAAAGAGCCAGTGATCTACAAACTGTGCTAAGTTCGGTTTATAAACTGTTGTTGCTTTTTCCACTTTTTTCGTATATGTACCTACAAACGAATGATGTAACTTTTTTAGGTACAATCTGTCTCATTAGGTACACTTATTTTATGATATTAGGTACAATCTGAAATTACCATTTTTCATCCCTGCTCCATAGCGTTTGAAAAACCCTTTCAACTAGAGAATTTAGATTTTTGATGAGTAATTCCTATAAACATTCGGACTCATTTTAAAGTCAGAAGTGTTTCGGAATTCTGTGTTGTAACCCTTATTGTGAGCTCCAAAAA